ATTGGTGGATAAGTAGATAAACAAAAATACATCCAATGGGAAATTACTCAGTCCTAACAGGAAGGAACTTCTAACATATTTTACATATAGATGAACCATGAATGCATCATGCTAAGTGAAATAAATCAGTAAAAAAAAAAACCAATCCTCTTTCCTCCTCCCCCCAATGAGACCCTGAGTTGTCGCCCATGAATGGCCTCTGGTTTGTGATCAAGCTGCTTAATGGCCATGATCCCAGAGACTCAGAAACAAATATCAAAACCCAGAAATGGGTTTTGGCAGAAATGCGTCCATACCCTGCAGCAGGTTACTGTCGCTGGACCACAACAGGGGGGAAGGGTGCTGTCCCTCCACCTGCTCCCCCTAAGAGGCTCGGTGGCCGCCATCCTCCAAAGGCCACTGGACAGTCAGATTTGGGCCCTCAGTGACGAGACACGTGGGGCCTCACGGGATGGGGGTGAAGCTGGCCCTTTCCTCCTCGTCCCAACGAGACCCCGAGTCGCCGCCCATGAACGGCTTTTCTGGCTCCTGATCAAGCTGCTTAACAGCCATGATCCCAGAGACTCAGGAACAAATCTCAGAAACCAACAGGTTTTGGCAGAAATCCCTCCAGATTTAAGTGTTAAAATTTTGGAATTTCAAAATCACGCAGCCACTACTGCAGCCACACAACATCATGTTATTCATAACCAGCAATAGAAAACAAATGGTCTACTGTTGCCTTTTCAGCAGATCTGAGTGTCGGGGTAAAATACCAAATAATAATGGTGGATCTGGTGTCAAAATATAATCAAAATGCTATCAAAGTAGAGAGAGAGTAATGTGGAAATCATCTGCCCCACAGGTAGGGTGAGGGTGTGGGATGGGGATGTACTGGGGCTTGGGGGGGTGGTGGAGAATGGACACTGGTGAAGGTATGGGTGTTTGATTGTATGACCGAGACTTAAACCTGAAAGCTTTGTAACTGCTCTCACAGTGATTCTATAAATAAAATTATATATAAAAAAACCCAATCCTGTGTGATTCCATTTATATGAGGTCCCTAAAGTCGTCAGTGCATAGAGTCAGGAGAATGGGGGGAGGGGGGAGAAGGAGGGAGGGTTACTGGTTCTGTCAATAGGAAACAATTCTGCACTGGGTGGTGGTGAGGGGTGTACAACAAAGTGGATGGACTTACGGCACTGAACTGTGTACCCCCCAAATAAGGACAATTAAATGGTATGTGTATCTTATTACAATTTTTATGTGATAAAAAGAAAACAAAAATAGTAGAACAGAAGGAAATCTGAGGCTTCCCTCTCTATTGAGGTAGAATGTCTAGAATGTAGTTCTAGTCTGGGGTCCAGTGTCTGCGCCTGTCTGTCCACAGCATGTCAGCAAGCCATGCTCAGGAGTATGGATGACGTAGTGAGCAGGATATGGAGGAGCAATATAAGAGGGTTCAGAACCCCGGGTGGTAGGACCATAAGCACCCTTAGGATTGCAGTGGTTAGTGGAGGAAGCATCTGGACCCCAAGAGCACTGGACCCCACAAACAGAAGCTCTGGCCTCCAATTGAGAGGATTTAGCTGGAAGAGCACGAGGGGCAGGTGATGACTCCCTCTAATCTGTCAAGCTTCTCCAGTCAAGCCTCCCTCTAATCTGTCCTTCTTGGACTTACCAGGAGGACAGCAAGCCCGAGATACAGAAGGCACAGATAGCTCACCGCAGCTGCCTGACCCTCGTGGCCTGGCCAGCGTCAGCTACTGCTGCTTCCAGAGTAAGCAGCAGGGCCTCCACCCTATGTCAGAGGACCTCCTTGGACGCTCCTGGACTCACCCAGAACTGAGACTTGTGCAGTGGCTTGTGAGCTGGTCCTAGGTGGCAGACACAACTGACTGCCACCAACCCTGCAGAGGGCACAGCACAGCCCCTTCAGGAACCCTCCCCCCCCAAGAGTTCATCCTTCCCAGAATCTGGACAGACTTTGAAAAAGCTCAATTCTGTTTTCAAAAGCAGGAGACATTTAGGGACTTGATTTTCCATTGACACTACTGATACTACTGATTCACTGATACTGGAGGGTCACCAGGCCACATGAGCAGCGTTGGGCGGGGGGCAAACACGTGATACTAAGAAAGGAACCCAGGCCCTCACACATACAGTTCAAGTTCAGTTTATTTTTCAGCCAGCGTCGCTCAACACTGCCCTCCTGTCAGCCTGCGTGGGAAGGTGGAGGCACGGAGAGATGGCTGTCCTGCAGCTGCACCTGCTGTGCCTTGACGCAGACGAGCTGAGAGAAGCTGAGGAGCTGCCCCCAACCCATCCCACACGGGACACACTGCTTCAGGCCACACCCACCTGGGATGCCCACTGCTCCCGCTGCAGCTGAGCTCAACCATGCCATGTGGAGCACTTACCCGGTTCCTGTCCACTAAGCTCCTCTAAGCCTACCCTGGCCCCTCCTGGGAGGCTCAAGCAGCTAAGAATTCCCATATTTTGTGCCTGTTTTTGTGTTCTTGTTTTTATTTCAGGGTCACACCTGTCGAGGTTACTCCTGGCTCTGCACTCAGAAATCACTCCTGGCAGTGCTCAGGGGACCATTATGGATGACCGGGGATTGAACCCAGATCTGCCACATGCAAGGCAAATGCCTTACCTGCTGTATCGCTCTGGCCCAGGTCAGACTTTCTTCTGAGACCTTTCTCACACCCACTTGCAGTCACTCCCTGCTGGCACTTGTGTGTCCTCGCTGCAGCACCTGCCCCACCCCCAAGTCCCCACAGCCCTCCCTGGGCTCTTGCTCACATTAGTACTCAGGCTCCTACACACTGTGCTTGGCCTGACCTGCTAAGCCCCTCCAGCAGGCCGCAGTCCCGGAAGGAGCTGGCACTTGCTGTTTCTGCTGCCCAAGGTGTTCTGCCTGCTCTTGCAGGTAGGATTCAAGGGGACAGTGGTGAGGGGGTCTTTCCCTTCTGGTTTCTGCCCAAGATGTTTCCATGAACAGACCAGTTCTCCCTCACTCTACTGTAACTCCATCACTCCACACCCTGTAGTTCTTTATTTCTTCAGGGTTCTTAACACCAGAGAACATCACAACCATTGATTAACTATCCACTTCACTGTGCCACCACAGATGCTCTAGGAACACTACCCTCATCCCATACTCATCGTGGTGTTTCTGTCCTGTGTACAGGTATGCACTCACCCGGCAGTGCTCAGGGGTTACTCCTGGTCATGTTCAGAGGAACCATATGGAATGTGGGGATTGAACCTGGGTCAGCCACATACAAGGCAAGTGTCTACCCACTGTACTATTGCTCTGACCACAACATTTAAAAATTTTTATGGTTAAGATTTCAGATGTCAGGGCTGGAGCAATAGTACAGTGGGTAAGGCATTTGCCTTGCATGCGGCTGACCCAGGTTCGTTTCCCAGCATCCCATATGGTCCTCTGAGCACTGCCAGGAATAATTCCTGAGTGCATGAGCCAGGAGTAACCCTTGTGCATTGCCGGGTGTTATTCCAAAACTAAAAAATAAATAAAATGAAAGATTTCAGATGTCTTGGCAGTACAGTGGGTAGTATTTTACACAGCTGAACTGTGCTTGATCCACATACAACCCCTAGGAGTGATCCCCCCAGCAGTCAGGGGTAAGCCCTGCATACCAGATGTAAAAAAAATTTTTTTCAGATGTCTTAATTGAAATAAAATAAATGGATTTATGTTTGATGCTGTGTTAAGTGGTAGCTGATTGTAACAATAGGCTTAGGGACCCTATAATTTAAAGTGTCCAACTACCTCATCATTTGTTCAGACTTTCCTGTTTATTTCTTACTGGGGCCTGAAAGTGAAATGGGCTGAGGGGCAAAGCCCTATGATGTCAGTGCGCAGTCTTCAGGACAGAGGCCAGCCAGTGCTTACTCACTCAGCTGGGTTTCCTCTGGGAACAGGCAGGACCTGCACAGCAACTGCCCCACCCACCCCAGACCACTGAGAGAACCCCCAGCTTCCTCCCACACCCCAGAGCCTGAACTACAGAGACCCAGTGGCAAGGGCACAAATCCCCAGCATGCCTGAGCCCAGCATGCCAAGGTGCTCCTGAGATCAGTGCCGGGCTCTCTCCACACCCACTACCTGCTTTGCTTGCTGTGCCTGAGTCACTAGCCTCTGGCCACGTGATATCAGAAGCGGTGACAACGCCAGCTCCAGCTCTACAAACCCAGCAGAGATGGCCCCAGAGGGTCATGTGCCTTCCACATGCCACAGTATACTACAAAGGGGGCCTCCAGCAGAAAACACCATAGCGCCTTGCTAGGAGAGGAGGTGGGGAATCCATTCACATTCTAGGTGTATGTCCGAGACAGGCATCCACCCAGACCGCCATGAGCCATCCTGCAGAGTCGGGGCTTTCTTTCAGAGGGCTCATGTTCCCTTCCCTACTGGAACAGACATCATTTTCCTCAACGTTAAAAGACCTGTGCCCGTCTCTCGTGGTTCCTCAACACTCATTGGCATCTTACACTCCAGGTAGGGACCCTCAGGATACCAAGGGAAGAATTACTTGACAAATCCCAATTTGTTTTCACTCATTTCTATCAATAGTAACAACCAACTTAATGAAGTAAAACTGGAAATTTCAACATATAGAAGTTATACAGGGAAAAATCCAAGGTTTGGACTCTGATTCCTTTCTTCCTCCTATTTTGGGAGGGGTGTTCCCAAGCAGTGCACAGGAGGCTGAGGGCCAGTCCCAGCAATAGATGGGTCGATCTTGGGCTGGTGCTATGGTGCCCCTCAGGCTGATAGTAGAGTGTGGGGCAGGAGAGTGGGGATGAGGCACTTGAGACCGTAGTGACCCTGAGTCACTGCCATAGCAGGCTCCTTGCTCCTCAAGCCTGCCATGCTCAGGGGTTACTCTTGGCTCTGCGTTCAGAGATCACTCCTGGCCATGCTCAGGGGACCATACAGGGTCCCAGGGATCAAGTCCAGATCAGGCTCATGCAAGTCAAGACCTTACCTGTTGTACTGTGTCTCCGGCTCCCCTCCGTGCTTCCTGGTCAGCACTGACAGTCTCCTTTGAGGATGGTGCAATGGCACCATGGAGACCTGTGGAAAAGGTCAAGCACAGGGGAGAAGTGAGTTTTCTATGGCAGTGACAGTCACCTGGAAACAATCCCTTGCAGAACAGAGTTCCAACTGGAGAATGGTCTAGAGGTGCTGGAAGCCAGTGGAAAGGACCCTGGGCTTCTGCCTGGGAGTCCCAGGCACTGATGAGCTTTCTGAGGTAACTCTCGTGCTCGGCAGCCAGGAGTGGGCCATTAAGACCACACCTGAAGGCTGGAGGGCTAGTCCAGGAGCTAAGGTATTTGCCACACAAGCTACTGACACAAGTTTGATTCTAGGCACAACATAGGGTTCCCTGAGCAATGCCAAGAGAGATCCTTGAACACAGATCCAGGAGTAAGCCCTGAACACTGCTGGGTGGACCCCCAGCAAAGCAAAAGCAAAAGACCACACTTGAAAAAACTCTGCATGAGGAATCCTGAGGTCATACAGGTTCAGTATGTTTGGGGACAAGGCTGAGGCATGACTCTGTGGCACCTTTCAGCTATCAAGAAATCCTGGTGGTGTGCCAGGAGGAGCAGCGTGCCAAGGTAGGCTCCCTTCCATGGCTCGGGGCAGCAAAGGGCTTAGTGGAATCTTCGGCAGAGTTGATACAATGGTGAAAGCCATACCAGAAAGTGCCAGGAGCAAGGCAGGGGACAGACAGTCGGTTTCCACCGAAGGCACAGACCCAGGGGTCAGCCTGCAGGGGCCACCATGCAGCAGGAAGGAAAGAAGGGAATACAGCTCCCCTGTGACCCCTGCAGGTGTGAGGGCGCAGGGAGCTTGCTCATGCCTGAATGTGGGCCTGTCTGTCTGCAGCCTGCACCACCCCTCCACGGGCAAAGGCCCTCCTCATGCAGGCTGGGTCTACCTTCGCTCAAGATTTAATGAGATCACCAAGGCAGCGATTTCTCTTTTGTTTTCACATTCCTGAAATACTCTTCTTACCCACAGGCTTCAGCACTTGTCCCATAGTGCCAGATGGCTAATGAGAGCGACTGCTGTGGAGTCATTCGGTGCCTGGCACACTTGGTGCCCTGTCACTCCCAGCACAAAATGCTCCTGGTGTTCTATTCTATTTTAAATGGGTACAAGAGCCTCAAATATGAGGCGAAGGCTGGGCTACTCCTGGGACTACCTTGTGTCCCTTGCATGGTCCTTGGAGGCAAATCTGTAAGAAACAGCTCCGAGATCTGTCCCAAGGTGGAGCCAATGACGGAACTGCTGCCAGGGCCCCTAAGGAGTCTCTGTGACTCCCTGAGGCGAGTCCTGGCCCTCAAACCAAACCAAACAGCATGAGCCATGTCCTAGCCTCCCCCGCCTTGTCTTGGCATTGGATGGGGCACCCCATGCGCTCTGCCCTCTCTACCCGCACCCCGCCCCAGATCCCAGCACAGCAAATGACAGGGCAGCTGCTCTCTAATCCAAGCAGGCTCCCCACAGCTGCCCTGGGCCCCAAACCACCCACTTCCTTTCTGGAGGTCCACAGGCTCTGCTCCTTACTCAGGCCAGGAAACGGCCCTGCCCCCCCAACAACACCCACAGCAGAATGCATAAAAATAAACTTCTGAAAAAAATTGAACTTGATCAAGTTTAAAACTTCTGCTCTTCAAGACATTGTCGAGGTGTGGGAGATAGATGGCATAGAGGGCCAGTGAGCAAGCTAGGTATGCGGGGGCTGCATGCACAGCACCACAGGGTCCTGGGCACTGTCAGACATGCATTCCCCACCCCTAAAAATTATAGTGTTGGACTGGAGAGTGTTATGATAGGTAGGTGACTTGCTCTGCCAGTGGCCAACCCAGGTTCACTCCCTGACCCCACATATGGCTTCTCAGTTCCACCAAGAGTGATCTGTGAAGAGTATAGAGTAAGCCTGAGCACTGTTGGGTGTGGCCCCCAAAGCCAGACACCAAAACAAACAAAACAAAACAACCCAAAAAAACATTGTGAAGAAAAAAAAACAGAGGGGAAGGAAAAAGGAAGAATCTGCAAAAAAAAAAAAACTGATAAAGGTTTGATTCCAGAATTTATAAGGAATTCACAAAATTCAGTAACGGCCAACACAATTCAATGATGAAAATTTTGAACACAAACCTCACTGAAGAAGATATTTTGTGGGTAAACAAGCACATGAAAAAATGTTAACCATCATGACTCATCAAGTAAAGGCAAACTGAAGCAAAGGAGCTATTATTACAAATGTTAGAATGACCACACATTTAAAAATCAAAGCAGCATCAAGTGCACCCAAGGATATGGAGCAAGTGGAACCTTGATTCATTGCTGGTGGATATGCAGACAGTGTAGCTGTGCTATAAAATAGTGCAAGAACCCACAAGGTACATGGAGGAAAACGTAGACAGAACACTCGATAACGTTGAAGCTAAAGGCATCTTTAAGGATGAAACACCACCGACCAAGCAAGTGGAAACAAACATAAACAAATAGGACTACATCTAAGCTTCTGCACTTCAAAAGAAACAGTGACCAAAATACAGAGAGCCCACAAAATGGGAAAGAATATTTACCCAATACCCATCTAATAAGGGGCCAATATCTAGGATATATAAGACATTAGTAGAATTGTACAAGAAAAAACCTCCAACCTCATCAAAAAATGGGGAGAAGATATGAACAGAAGCTTCCTCAAAAAGAAATACAAATGGCCAAAAGGCACATGAAAAAAAATGCTCTACATCTCTCATCAGGGAGATGCAAATCAAAACAACAATGAGATATCGTCTCACACCACAGAGATTGGCACACATCAAAAAGAGAAAGAACAACCAGTGCTGGCGCTAATGTGGGGAGAAAGGGATTCCCTTTCATTTTGATGGATATGCCGACTGGCCCAGCCTTTTTTGGAAAATATTATGGGCATTCCTTCAAAAACTAAAATTTGAGCTTCCATATGACACCACAATACCTCTGTCACTGTTCTCCTGTTGTTCATCGATTTGCTCAAGCGGGCCCAGTAACGTCTCCATTGTGACCATTGTTACTGTGTTTGGCATATCGAATACATCATGGGTAGCTTGCCAGGCTTTGCTGTGCAGGCGAGATACTCTTGGTATCTTCCTGGGTTCTCCGAGAGGGGCCGAGGAATCGAATTTGGGTTGGCCATATTGGCTGCTTGCAAAGCAAACGCCCTACCCACTGTGCTATTGCTAATACCACTTCTGGGAATATATCCTGAGGGTGCAAAAAAAAAGGCACAGTAGAAATGACATCTGGACCTGTATGTTCATTGCAGCATTATTCACAATAGCCAGAATCTGGAAACAACCCAAGTGCCTGAGAATAGACGACTGGTTAAAGAAACTCTGGTACATCTACAAAATGGAATACTATTCAGTTGTTAGGAAAGATGAAGTCAAGAAATTTTTACGTATAAGTGGATGGTCATGGGGAGTGTCATGCTAAGTGAAATGAGTCAGAAAGAGAGGGATACACATAGAAGGACTGCACTTACTTGTGGAATATAAAATGTCATAATATGAGCTAACACCCAAGGACAGTGGATACAAGGTCCAGGAATATTGCTCCATGGTTGGAAGCCTGCCTCAGGATTTGGGGGAGAAGGCAGTTGGGATAAAGAAGGTATCACTACGTCAAGGATGGTTGGAGGAATCGCTCGGGATGGGAGATGTGTGCTGAAAGTAGATAAAGGACCAAACATGATGGCCTCTCAGTATCTGTATTGCAAACCATAATACCCATAAGTAGAGAGTAACAGGGAACTTGTTTGCCACAGAGGCAGGGGGAGGGGTGAGACAGGAGCAGGGGAAGGGGGAGGAGGAATGCTGGGGACACTGGTGGTTGAAAATGTGCACTGGTGGAGGGATGGGTGTTCGATCATTGTACGACTGAAACTCAAACATGAAAGTTTAGCAACTGTTGCTCACAGTGATTTAATAAAAATAAATAAATTTTAAAAATAAAACAGTGCAAGAGTTTCCTATAAAATTAAACTTACAATAAGATTCACTGTATTGAACCAAATAATTAAAGATTTCTGTAACTCTGTCCCCTCTCTTCCCTGCTAGCCACTTATCATCCTCGCTGCCCCCAAATTAGAACTCTCTGGGGTTAGGAAATGCTAAAACAGAATGGCCCAAGGTCTACTGGAAGAAATAAAAACCTCTCTCTAATTAGATCATCTTTATAATGATCTAATATTTTATAATTATAATATTTTGATTCTAACTGGACCATGATAGAACCTCAAGAACACTTTTCTCTCTCTCTTTTTTTTTTTTTTTGCTTTTTGGGTCACACCCGGCGATGCACAGGGGTTACTCCTGGCTCATGCACTCAGGAATTGCTCCTGGCGGTGCGTGGGGGACCATATGGGATGCTGGGAATCGAACCTGTGTTGGCCATGTTGGCTGCGTGCAAGGCAAACGCCCTATGTGCTGTGCTATCGCTCCAGCCCCCTCTTTTTTTTTTTTAAGTGAAGCAAACAGTTTTCACTGAAAGAAATTTAGAGAAATGTGAGGTGAGAGAAAGGAGAAAAAGAGAGAAATACAAGTTCAAGTGATAGCAAGGGCTTCTCCAGAAAGGAAAAAAAAATCACTCAAGAAGATTTTTGTTTGTTTGGCCACACCCAGCAATGCGCAGGGTTTACTCCTGGCTCTGTGCTCAGACAGGAATCAGGGGACTGTATGTGGTGCCGAGAATCTAACCCAGGTCAACCGTGTGCAAGGCAAATGGCTTACCTACTTGTACTATCTCTCCAGTCCTCAGAAACGCTTTTGTAGTGACCATAGCTGGACTACACCATGAAGGTGCTCAGTCCCCGTTCTCTTATGACCGTATGAAAATACACACCTCCAATTTAGGAACTGCCCTGCCATTTTCTGTACATATCATATATGTTTTTCAACTGCACATGCTTACCATTCCCTCTCATGAATATTCATGATTTCTTGAAAAACGGGTAGAATATGTATGGGCTGCTCCATCACCTTTGTTCTGCTGAGCATAAAACC